AGTTTGCAATATGCAGCTTTTCTCAAATCACCCGACAGTTTCTACATTGTGAATAGTTGACATTATCATGACAACTAGCTAGAAAGTATAGCATAGAGAATTTATTAAATACAATGCAATCACCTCCTGCTTTGGGTCAAAGCTGGTAGTGATGTGGGTGGTGGCTCTGTAATCTCATTTCAGTCCCTATACAAATGTCCTCTTGTTCATTTGTCAGAATATTGAAAGGAAAACATTTTTCAGATAATATGGTTATAAGTTCACACTTTTAGGTGCTTTAATATAGTAATATAGATGGCATGCAACAAATGTCTTCTTGTCCATTTGTCAGAACATTGAAACAAAAACATTTTTCAGATAATATGGTTATAAAGTTCACATTTTTAGATGCTTTAATAGGGTAATTATAGATGGCATGCAAACAAAATAGCTATGTGGTCACAGATTATTAATTTTGATACAGAGTGATTTAGCATAAAGTATTAATTATCTGTAATAACAAGTCTCAAATATGGGCTGACAGAGTTTCTTATACCTGCCCTAAGGGCTTAAAATTAAATATATCTCAGAAAAAGAGATTCTTCTCTCTCGTTTTGGGCTCCTTGGTTGTCACTCACAACTACTTCTGCCATAGTGGGAAACTGACAGTAGGTAGTCATGTAATTTCTAGTGAAATCCTGTAGCTGTAATGTAAGCCCTTCCTCCCTTCACCAAATGATCTCATTTCCTTAGGAAATAGGATCAAGATTATATAATCCAAGTCCCTTTTTCTTATCCTTCTCTTCCCTTAAAAACTCCCTGTATCTTTCTACATTCATATTCTCATCTCTCCCTCAAGCCTTTGAGGATAAGAGCTTTCCTGCAGTCTGAGGATGACCAGGCTTTGCTCTTAATTTTGTTTCTGGCCCTTTTTTCAGGAAGGTGCCATTCAGTTTTGCTTCTTTCTTTCTAAGCATCTGGAATTTCTCTCTATCCTGTTGTTATCTCTAGTGTAAAAAAACCCTTGGCTCAAATTCTAACTCCACCATTTATTTGCTGTGGCCTTGGATTAGCTATTTAAACTTTCTGTACCTCAGACTCGTCAGCCTGTACAACGGGGAAATATTACTAATAGTACTTGCCTTATACAACTGTTAGGAACATTAAGTAAATTATTTGATGCTTAGAACAAAGCCAGGTACATAAGATGTACTCAATAAATGTTAACTTTGTATCATCATCATTTTAAAATTGTATGCCCCTCTTGCCTTGACACATTTTTGTTCTCTTTACTTTTTAAACTGTGTGCTGGTTTCTGTTTTTATCTGATTCTCAGAGGACCCCAAAACTTCATGAATAACAAACCATTTTCATTCTTCCTTATACTGTTGAAACTCCTGCTCCTCCCTTTAAATGCTCTATTTCCGTATTTCTAAGAACCTCTCTGATCATCCCTTTGCTGTTTTCTTCAGAGGCCACACCTCCCAACCCCACCATGAAGTGTGCATACATAAAGAAAGACTGACAGGAGTTGGTAATGTCTCTTGAATCCATTATATTTAACACTTCAAGCCTTGTAACTGAAGCAATCTTCTAAATGTTTTCCTTCTATCCAGCTTTCTATCCAGTGACCCCACTGCGTCACTTTCTTGGCTGAAAGTCTCTGAGGGCTTCTCATTACCAAACTCTTCTCAGATCTCCACTCTGACCCCAGCCTTCCTCTCTAATAAGAACTACTCTTCCCAAGCATGGCTCCTTAAAACTAGCCACATCTCCTCAATATGTCTTGCAGATTTCTGCTTCAATGACATTTCTTTCGTGTTTTCTCAAACAATTTCTCCTTTCTTCCCAACCTTTTAAATTAGATCAATTCACTACAGCTTGGTTTAAGTCCTTCCTCCTCACTAAAGCCCTTCTCACAACCACTTTCTTGTTTCTGTTTGATTTCCTATGCCGCTCACTGCTTATCCCATGGGACACTGAATATCAAATGCCTCGTCTTGTGGGTTCTCCCTTCACACATGTAGATCTTATTTACCTAAGAAGTTGAGTACCAAGAGAGCAGAACTTCTCATATGTTTTGTTTTCTTGATAATACTTACCATTGCTCCTGTATATAAGAAAACCTTGGCTGAGATGAACAGTTATTGAGTGTCTTTTATGTACCAGATACTGAATCAGGCATACAAGCACACAACTACTGATTTGGTTCTTGGTGATGATGGAAGCAAGATCTCGAAAGGTGTTTTTAGAAGTGCTGGGCCCTCCCAGAAATAGACCAGAAATTTAATCTGTTCTCAAATATCAGTGGCTTGAGTATTTAAAAATTATGGCTCATATAGGGTAAATTCTTCAAATTTTTCTGACTACTATCTTTGTTTCTTATTTTCCAATCTTCCCTGCCTTTGTTATAGCCCTTTGTGGTCCTATCAGCTCTAACCATGCTAGAACATTTCACCAAGCAAATGGTAGCAGAGCAATTAATAATTTCTCTGAGTATTAACTTACACTTCAAAGGTTATTTTGGATCTTTATTATGTTATAAAATTAAACATTGCCTCTTGTTTTCTCACATTTAATCAAGAGGTGCTTTATCATATTTATGCTCATATTTCAATATTGGACAAAATTGAGAGGATCTGCTTTACCAAAAGAATTGTTTTAATAAAAAGAGAGTAAGTGTAACAATGAAAAAGGAAATGCCATACCTGGGTCCACTCATTTGTCTGGGGATCATAAGCCTCCACTGTATTCAGGTAGGTCTGACCATCATAACCCCCAACCGCATACAATTTGTCACCAAGTAAACAGACCCCCACCGCATCTCGGCTGATGCTCATAGACGCTACTGCAGTCCACATGTCTGTTTTGGGATCATATCTGCAAGAAAATTTGAGAACTGGAGCTGATATCATTCTCAAAATATTTTATATAAAGACAGTTTTGTGCTTTGAGTCCATCTGCTGTCTTATTATCTGCCATGTAAATAAAATACATTTGAACATATTTTAGAGACAAATATTAATATTTCCCCAAAACTTGTAACTTACAGTATTATAGATTCATTTAGCAGATGTATAACACTTAAAAGGAGCTAATGTAAATACTGAAAATTGCTTGCAGGCTTTAGATTGCCTACTGAAAATTTGAGGAAATCAATGTTAAGTTCTTTGTAAGATGACTTACAACATCAATCATTGTAGCTATCCATTTTTGGACATTCTTATTCCTTTCATTGGGTGTCTTAACTAGAAGTACCCAAAGTTGTCTATCTAAGAGCAGATACATCATGCTAAGATGACCTATATTGCTCCTAATACCTCCTGTATCAATGAACAACTTTTCACTGGGTGTAGAACTACAGTAAACCCATAATTTATGGGGCAAAGTGTATAAAGACTTCCATAGTCCTTTCTTGGATTCTAACATATAACAAGCATGGGCTGAATTGTTTCCCCCACAATACAGGTGAAATACAGGTATAACTTTCCTGCTTTCTCAAAAAACAACCACCAAGTCTGCTTATTATTTCACAGAAAGTGCTTGCTATGATTTGGATGTGGTTTGTCCCCACCAAAACTCATGTTGAAATTTAATTGCCAATGTAACAGCACTGGGAGGTGGGGCCTTTAAGAGGCGATTAGGTTGACAAAATGGATTTATATCCTTCTCAAGAGGCTGGGCTAGTTCTTGCAGGAGTAGATTAGTTTCTGTATGAGCAGGCTGTTATAAAATGAAGTTGCCACTCATGTTTCACCTTTTTGCACATCCATTTTCCCTTCCCTTTCTCTACTATGTTATGACACAGCAAGAGGCCCTCATCAGAAGTTCCCAGATGGGGCCACCCAAACTTGAATTTCACTTTCCTTGTAAATTGCCCAGTCTCAGATATTCTGTTATAGCAATAGGAAACAGACTAAGACAGCACTCATTACCAAGAAACCTTAATTTTACTTTTTATCCTTCTTCTAGTCATTTACAACTTATTAAATACATCACACTAATCTTAAAAAATCTGATCAAGTCCAACACATGCACACACCCATGCACAGACACTCATTAACTCCCTAGTCCTCTTTATAATCCCAAATCCTTCATAATTCTTCAAGACTCATGATCTGCCCCACCTCACCAGCTCTGCCTCCTTTCCTGCCACTCTATCCATCCCTCTTAGTTCTCTAGTCATAATGGCTGCCTTTCAGTTTCCTATATGAACCACATTCCTTTGGGCTTTGGAATATTCAGACAAGCTCCTATTGATTGTGCCTCTTAAATCCATTCAGTTCTCTCTATTCCTTGCACTAGATTGAACATAATAGGTGGGAATCTGACCTACCAATCCAAACCTTCCACTGCTAATAAGGCTAATAAGGCTCTCTACCTGGCCCCATACTTGAGTTTCATGAGGCCAGTTTGGATGACTTGTTTAAACATTTAGGGCTTATTATTAGCCTTTTAGTTTATTATTTTATATTATTTCATTTTATATCAAAATATATCAGAAATGTCCTTATCTTTTTCACTTATTTAGCCTATGGCCCCTAAGTCACTTTGTCTGAAATCCATCAAGCTCCTTTTCTTAATAGGTGTCCAGTATAAAACAGGTACATAATAAATGTTTGTCATATAATTTAATTAATAAATTATACAGTCAATTATAAGGTCAAGTTTAAGTAAGTGGGAAGTAATATGATGAGAGAAGAATCTGCGAAGGCTGTTGGGAGACATAGGAGAGATGGCCAGAGCCGACAACCTAATGTTTACAGAGCTCGTGGAGAACTGCTTTGCATGTGGTGAATGCTCAATGAAGAGTTATTAATTTGTCTAGAAGCAACAGAGATTTACATTTGTTTGTTTGTTTTCTTAATTCTAGTTTTCCTTCACAGAAAATTACCTCTCCACACAGTCTGAGAGTCTGGAAGTCAAGTTGGATGCGGGAGCATCATGCCCTCCAATAGCATACAGCAAGCCATTCCAGGTTGTTACTCCGACACCACCTCTCCTTTTTGACATCTGTGCACACAGTGTCCATTTATTAGTATGAGGATCAAAACATTCTACTGATTTGAGACAAGAACTCCCATCACGACCACCAACTGCATACAGCCTATAAAAAGAACAAATGAAATGATAAATAAGAAACTGTGCTGTTACTACACTCAGGATAAAGAGGCTCTTCTTATGGTATTTCATTGCATTTAATGTGTCCTCAATTATAAGACACACTGTCAATTATATGGGCCATTAAGAAAGAAGATATGCTACCAATTAAATAACACATGTATATATATCACTCTGTGTATAAATGAAAAAGAAAACATAAATTGCACATGAGGGCAATGATAAGTAATTCACAGCTGCTATGTGTTTGAGAAGGTACCACTGACTGTAAGATGCACTGTAATTCTAGAGATGTTAAAATGTGTCTTAGAGCTGGATACAGTGCTCATGACTGTAATCCCAGCACTTTGGGAGCCTGTGGTGGGAGAATCGCTTGAGGTCAGAAGTTCAAGACCAGCCTGGACAACATAGTAAGACCCTGTCTCTACAAAAATAAAAATATTAGTCAGGCATAGTAGTGCACACCTCTAGTCCAGCTACTTGGGAGGCCATGGTGAGGCTCATTTGAGTCCAGGACTCTGAGATTACAGTGAGCTATGATTGTGCCACTGCACTCTAACATGGGTGACAGAGCAACACTCTGTCTCAAAAAAAAAATTAAAATGTACTGGTAACACTTCCTTAAGAATCATTATCTCAATGATTTTCAAACTATGTTCTAAGAATAGGATTCTATTTGAGAGGGTCTCAAAAATGTATTTTTAATTTTTTAAAATATCACCTGGCTCAATTAAATGCCATGCAAGACTCAGAACTCATCTCTCTTCCCCATAGCAGTATCTATTACAATAAAAAGAGAAATATAATGTCAATGTGAGATAGTATTATATATATTAATAAAAATAAAATTTAGATCTTGCCCAACTTTTAAATTATGATCAAGAATGCAAGTAGCTGGTAGATATTGTTGAGACTTAACTCAGAAAAAAATTTCTTAATACTTTTAAATTACTCGGGCAATTTAACAAGAGTTTCCTCGGATTCCAATTAAATTGCTCTAGTAGTTAAAATAACTTACCATTTCAACCTCTTATCTTTGAATCAGGATTTTCTTCATATTGGACAATCAAAACAAAACACAGAAATAAGCTAGGTGTTCTTGAAAATAGGCTTTTTCTTCTACAATTGATTTTTATAATAAGTAAATATTATAAACAAGTTTATAATAAATTTAAAATAAGTTTAGAATAAACCTGAACTTCTATTTGCTTTAAATATTGATTTGGTTTTTGGTAAGATTTCACTTGAAAGACATTCTATGCTAAAAATATTTGCCAGCCAGTAGCTTAAAGGCAGCCTGAGTAATTGGACGCTAAATAAAGCTGTTTTCTTTCAAATCTGACAGAAAGAAAAATTTTAACACTTTGAAAATTCTAAGATACAGAATGTGAACTCAGAAAACATAGACATAATTCTTCCCTAAAGAAACAACTATATTTTGCTTCAGCAAACAATGTAAAGTAAGTAAAAATAACAAAAAACAGTAGTTAATCTAGGCTTTTTATTTTATATGTTAAAAACTGGAGGCACAGAGAAATGACTTGTTCTAAATCACAAAGCAACAGCATAGACAAGATGCAGCATTAATTTTTTTCAATCAATTGCATGATTGTTTTCAACTAACAACAGTTTCTATTTATTGCAGATACTACAGATATACTATATTTTGAAATTAAATGTCTTACTAGTTAGTATATTAGAAAGCCTTACCTTCTGATATGATTATTAGGCTATCCAGAATTAGACTGGGAGTACTTTAGTGGAGTTAAAGACTGAAATATTTATTTCTCATTACAGGTCAAAAAAGGTAAGTAAGAAAGATATTTCTGTGCCTACAAGTCCAGGCTATAGTAGTCAGGAAATCAGGTTTTAGAGAAGTTATTCTTTTATCTTCTATTAGAAATAAAGGCTAAGGAATACACCCCTGAACAAACCAAAAAATCAAAACTGAGAATGCTGTTTTCTTTTCTTTTTTTTTTTTTTTTTTGAGACAGTCTTGCTTTCTTGCCCAGGCTAGAGTGAGTGCCGTGGCATCAGCCTAGCTCACAGCAACCTCAAACTCCTGGGCTCAAGCGATCCTCCTGCCTCAGCCTCCCGAGTAGCTGGACTACAGGCACGAGCCACCACGCCTGGCTGATTTTTATATGTATATATATTAGTTGGCCAATTAATTTCTTCTATTTTTATGGTAGAGACGCGGGTCTCGCCTCAGCGCCCTGGTTTTGAACTCCTGACCTTGAGCAATCCGCCCGCCTCGGCCTCCCAGAGTGCTAGGATTACAGGCGTGAGCCACCGCGCCCGGCCTGCTGTTTTATTTTCTTTCTTTTTTCTCATTTACTAGATTCTTTGCTGGCTGATTCTTTTATCAAAGAATTAGGAAAGATAAAGAGTGGTGAATTTTGAAGTTATTTCTTTAGCTAAAACAAATGAGGTGAGGAGTATGAGATAAGATACATCTAAGAAATGATTTCCCTTTATCTATATTGTCACTTGTAATAGTGCTAAAACAACAAAAAGTAGAATATAACTAATAGGTCCTGAGGAAACAAGATCCTAAGTCATAAAATACAAAAAATTTCACTAATATTTTATCATTTTTCTTATAATAATAACAATAAAATTCTACAAATATTTTTTTTTTTTTGAGACAGAGTCTGTCACCCGGGGTAGAGTGCAGTGGCAACATCGAAGCTCACAGCAACCTCAAACTCCTGGGCTCAAGCGATCCTCCTGCCTCAGCCTCCGGAGTAGCTGGAACTATGGTGTACACCACTGCACCCAGCTAATTTTTTTCATTTTTTGAAGAGACAGAGTCTTGCTATTGCCCAGGCTGGTCTCGAATCCTGGCCTCAAGTGATCCTCCGTCCTCATCCTCCCAAAGTGCTAGGATTACAGGGGTGAACCACTATGCCTGGCCTACAAATAATTTTAAGTCTCTGTTTTAATCTTGATTCCTTCTTCTTTATGGAAATGATAAGGCATTTTAAGTAAGCAAAACCTACCCAACAAAAAATTTTTCTTTAACAACCATAGAGGGCTTCATGCTATGGAAGAAGAAAGGGCTCAAAAATATACATATTCAATCTCTGAGTAACTATACCTATTAGTAATGGCTCTACCTAAATCTGTTTACTCAGAGCAGACAAAAGGCAAGAGAGCACTTCTTTTTCAATCCATTTAAGTCTTCACCAGTTTACCATGATAAGAAAGAAGAGAAGTAAAAATAATGATAAATCCACAGAAAAGGTGGAAGGAATCTTTAGGGAAACATTGAAAGAGACTATACTATTTTTAAAAGACCATATATACTTTTAAATATCATATAGGTAATTAACTTTTAAAGGTATATAAACCACCATATTTTGACTTATTAGTCAAAATAAGTCCACTTAAAGTCCACATGCAGACTTTCTGACTGAGCCAGGCCATTCCAGCCCCTCCCTGACAGCTTTTCCTGGAAGCAGAGGACAGAACTTTGACCCCTGCTAACGGCATTGGTGGTGCCTGAGGGCAGGCGTACCCAACCCAGCTCCACCCAGACTCTCTCCTAGACTAGCCCTCACTGAGGGGGAGAAAAGGACACACCTAGATGTCCCAGGGCCCCACCGACCACCTGAGGCACTACATTGCCTCTCTACAGGAACAAGAGCTGATAACAGGACACAAAAACAAGTGTAGCCTGTTCTTCCAAGCAAGCGCCACCTACTGACAGGGAGGGCATCCTGCACACCCTCTTCACGTCACCTATTGACTCATTATACAGGGAGTGGTCGAATCTCACCCACAGACACCACCTACCGGCTCAGAAACTAAACAAGGCGTGTGAATACCCAAACAAAAACCTAAAGGAAAGAAACAACAACTGATCGACATGGGAAAAAATCAGCGAAGGAACTCAGGAAATATGAAGAACCAAACGGAAAACACACCCCCAAAGAGGAGCACCAGCCCCCTAGAAACGGACACCAACCCAAATCAGACAAACAAAATGACAGAAGAGGAATTTCATATGTGGATCATAAGAAAACTTACCGACTTGCAAGAATAACTCAATAACCAACACACAAAAAACACAAAAAGCCTCCAGGACCTAGAACAAAAGTTCACTAAAGAAATAGACACAATGAAGAAAAGTTTAACCGAACTCCTGGAAATGAAGAATCAATTCAAGGAACTACAAAATACAGTGTAAAGTCTCAAGAACAGGGTAGATCAAACAGAAGAAAGAATCTCACAGATTGAAGATAACACCCTCCAACTAAATAAAACAGTCATAG